TAACTGTGGTGCTGAAGAATAATATTGAAAGTACCATGAACTGCCCAAAAGACAAAAAGTCTGTCTTGGAAGTTCAGCAGAGTGCTGCCTTAGAGTCAAAGATGAAGAGCCGTCACCTTATATGTTTTGTACATGTTCTCAAGAGAGGCTACTCGTTGGAAAAGGATATCACGCTTGGGGCAGCCAAAAAAGATGAAGGCCCTCAATGAAAGGTATTGACACATGGCTGCAACAATGGGCTCAAACCTAAGAACTGAGGACAGGCAAGGATCATGCAGTGTTTGTACTGTTGTGTATATGGGTGATGTGAGTCCGAACCAATTGGATGATACCTAACAGCAACAACATGTACAACACATACAAGCATCACTGAGTTTGCTACTCGAAAGAACTGAACCCAAGAGTCTCCAATCCACATTGAGTTTGGTTTTGTGCATGGGGAGAGCATGGTCCTGTTCAGTCTTCTGCATATGATGACCCCTTTTCCCCCAACATCATTTGTTGAAGTGGATGTTCCTATCCCATTTGATATTTTTTGATTCTTTGCCAAATTTTTTTTTGCCTCTAGGTGGATGAATTTACTTTTGGTCTTTCTATTGTGTTCCATTGTACTAGTACCAGCTTGTTTTGACTACTGTGGCTGTGAAGTAGGTTTTGAAGTCAGGTAGTGTGAAGTCAGGTTCTTTCTTAAGTTGTTTGCTTACCCTAGGTCTCTTTCCTCTCTATGTGAAGTTGGTAACTCATTTTTCCATTTTTGTAAAGAATGAAGTTGGGATTTGGATTGGAATTGCTTTGTATATTATAGATTAGGTAGAATTGACATGTTCACAATATTGTTTACCTATCCATGTATACAGGATGTTCTTTGTCCTGTGAAGTGGTGGTGATTTCGAACTTCTGACCTCGTAGTTAGCAGCCCAACATGTAACCACTATGGCTCCAGGGCTTCCAATATCTTCCATTTATGTAGATCTTTTTGGTTTCCTGTAGTAATGTCCTTCATACAGATTATTGTAAATAGTATTATTTTCTTGCTGTATTTTTTTTAAACTTTCTTCATTGATATACAGGAATCCACTGATTTGTTCTTGCTAATGTATCCTGCTATCTTTGCTGAATTGGATTGTTTCCAATAATGTTTTTATGTAGGTTCGTTTGGGATCTTTTATATCAAATTATACTATCTGGATAGAGTGAGCATTTCACTTCTTTGCCCAATTGTATTACCTTTTTTTGGGTAGTCTAATGATTCTGCCCCAAACTAGTAGGGGCATCCTTGTCTGGTTGTCATTTTCAAGTGAAATGTTTTCAGTTTTTCCCTATTGAGTGTGATGTTGGCCACTGACTTTTTGTATATAGCCTTTATTATGTTGAGGAATTTTCCTTCCTCCCTATTTTGTTCAATGTTTTGTCAGAAATGGGTACTGGCTATTATCAAATGCTTTTTCTGCATCTACTGATATGGTCATGTGGTCCTTTGCCTTGTTTATCCGGTATATTAACATCAATCATTTTTTACAAGTGTTGAGCCATCTTTGCATCCCTGGTATATGAACTATGCTTGATCATAATTAATTTTTTGGATATGTTGTTTGATTTATTGGCCAGAATTTTGTTGAGCATTTTTGCAGCTATGTTGATAAGCTACATGGGCCTGCAGTTTTCTGTCTTCGTGTGGTTTGGCTATCAAGGTTATGCTTGGTTATGCATAAAATGAGTCTGGAAATTTGTTGTCCTTGTCTATCTTCTGGAATAATTTGTGTAATATTGATAGCATTTCTTCACTGAATGCTTGGTAAATTCCCTTGTGACGCCATATGATCCTGGCCTTTTCTTGGTTGGAAATTTCTTGATGATGCCTCTGTCTTCTTTTGTTAAGGTTTTCTACATTCATCTGAATTTGAGATGATGTTTTTCTAGGTATTTGTCCAATTCTTTGAGGTAAACAAACCTGTTAGAGTACTGTCTTCTGTAGTAATGTAATTCTTTTTATTTCATTTGGATCTGTTGTTATGTCCTCCCCCAACCCCTTTCAACTCTAGTCCTAAATATTTATATCTCTTCTTTCTTTTATTAAGTTTGCCAGTGGTCTGTCAATATTAATCTTTTCAAAGTACGAACTTCTTGGGTTTTTTCCATTTTATTTGTATTTTCGTTTATTTCTGATTTTTTTCTGTTGTTGGAGGGTTTATGTTGCCCTTGTTCCAGTTGTTGAATGTGTTAAGGTGTTAATTTTTATTTCTCCTTTTATGAGTGCATTGATTGTTATAAATTGGCCTCTGATAACTGTTTTACTATGTCCCAGAGGTTTTAGTATGTTATCATTCTTGTATCAGTCTCATCTTTTCAAAAAATTTCTTAATTTCATTTATTTGATTATGCATTTTTTTAGTAATAATTTGTTCAGTCTTCATGTTGTCTGTTCGTTCTCCATGTGTTTATGTTCCTGTTTTCTTTTGATTTAGTTTTATAGGGCTGTGATCTGAATGGATTGTAGGATCTCAATGTTTTTGAATTTGTTGAGGTTTGCTTTTTGGCCTAACATGCCATCTATTCTGGAGAAAGTTCTATATACACTATAAGAATGTATATTGTATTGCTGTTGGATGGAATGTTCTGGATATATATAGGAAGTCATGTTGGTTGACTTTATTGTTAAGTACTTTTGTTTTTGTAGTGGTTTCTTTCCTGATAGTCTGTCTTTTGTTGACAGTGGTGCACTGAAGTTTCCTGTTAGTATTGAACTGTTTTGTTTTTTTTCTCTCCTACTCTGTGAGGATTTGATTAATATATATTGAAGGTCTTTCATTGGGAGGATATGCTTATTAGTCTTCTCCATTGTTCCTTTCATCATTATGTAATGTCATTTCTTATCTCATTATTTGCCTTGAAGTCTATCTTTTCAGTGATTAATATCACACCTGCTTTTATTTTACTGCCATACTTAACATGCTTTTGCTTAGCCATTGGTTTTTTGTCTACTTTTGCCTTGTGTCTGAGGTGTTTCTTATAAACAGCACATTGATAGGTCTTATTTAGCTATCCAGCCTCCTACTTTCTTCCTCTTGATTGACGCATTTGAGATTAGGGGTGTGTTGCTTTTTGACTTGTTTGTTGTGTAGTTTCTTTGTTCTTCCTCTATTTCTGTGCTGGTAATGACGGCTTCCTTTTGTGTGTTGGTTTTTGAGGAATTGTCTTGTATGTTGGTCTTCAGGTTTCTCTGTTGATTTTTTTTTTTTTGGGGGGGCCGTATTTCTTCTGTGACCAGTGTATTTTAGAGTACAGTTTGCTTAGTGGGAGTTCCAAATTGGAAGTGGCCTATGGTATAGCTTATGAAGGCTGCTGTGCACTTGAACGGGAAGAGTCAAAGTTGTTGTACATAGTACATATTCTAGGTCACCAAAGGCTGAATAAAAGCGAGGTCATTAGGGCCCAATTAGGGATATGATACTGAGATTATTCTTTTATTAGTGGTCTATATATTTAAGATTGAGCATTTTCCCCAATGGCAGGCTTCCTCACCTGGTTTACCCACTGACCAAAGTGCATTTGTCTTCTCCAAGTTAGATGTGCGTCTACCCTAAGAAATTTCAAATAAATTCATCTCTCTCAAACTTCTCAGTTCTGATTCATAGTGACCCTATAGAACATGGTGGAACTGCCCATTTTGGTTTCCCATAAAGACTGTAAATCTTTACTGGAGTGGCTGGTGGTTTCAAATGTGGTTAACATCCGAAGGCATAATCACTACACCACCAGGAATCTTTATAAATTATCTAATTTACAAATGTGGACTCTCATGCATGAGAGGAAATGCATAAGCTGTAGAATATGAGGTGCAGCTTCAAAATATAACTACCTTCATTCCAGCAATGTTAACTCACAAATCTTGTAAAGAATTGAATGAGACAAAGGTTATTAGCCAAGTACTTGCTCTTTGTGGAAGATAGGGCTGTTTTTGTTGTTACTTTGAGTGTGTGTACATACTTTAAGTTATGGAAGACCACCATTATGTGTTATAACACAGATGTACTACAAATATGAATGTGTAGTTAAAATAAAAATCTGCACAAATTATTATCTTTGAGGAATGTCGTGGTTTGACAAGATTAAAATATGCTATAGACTCTCCATGGAGAAGGCGGAGCGGGGTTTCTGAAAAAAGCTGGAGAAATTTTTTTTTAAGAAAAGAAAAAGACCACTGCCCGAGTCAATTTTGACTCATAGCAATCCTGTATAGGATTTCCAAAACTCAAAAATCCTTATTGGAAAAGACTGCCTCATCTTTAATGGAGTGACTGGTGCATCTGAACCAAGTGCCACCAAGGCTGCAGTGGCAAATACATATCCAGGTTAAAAATGGGCATATTCTTGGGTTATTGGCAGAATTAAGAGCAAGGCTTACCCCGTTGATCATGTGATGATGCAAAAAACCTGGATTTGTACATTTCATCATTTAATTGAGTTTCTAATTTCCTACACCATGTTCAAAGATATTTGAGCTGCTAATATCTCTGAAAGTGCCTATTAGCTTTGTGAGAAAGACAAACTAATGCACAATTGTTGGAAAAGATACACTACATATATCAAAATAAAAATTATGCTATCAATGTTTTTGGTCTATTCTACAAGCAGAATAATATTCTAAATTATGAAAGTAATTTGCTATCTTTAAGGTCTTGTTAAAACCTAAGGGTTGGTAGGTTTTTTTTGTTTGTTTGTAAAAGACTAGAAAGAATTGTAAGGTTTGTGGGCCATTTGGTCTTTGGCAGCTTTCCAACTCAGCCTCTTACAGTGGAAAAGCAGCCACAGGTGATGAGTAAACCGAAGAGCAGCCCAGTTCAAGTGAGACTTTATTTAGATAGGCTAACAAGGGAAGGAGGGTTAGAGTGGCTGCATCACTCAAAGAAATGAACTCAGATCACTAAATGGTACAAGAAGAAACTGCTTGCTTTATGTTTTGCTTTGTACATTCCCAACAACACCAAAACAAGTTTTGTATAAAAAGACTTTATTTAGAAATACTGGAATTTTAATATGTCATGACATGAAATATTCTTTGAATTTTTTTAACCATTTAAAAATGTAAAAACTATTTTTGGCTCACAAGCCTTACATACATAGGTGGTGAGCCTTATCTGGCTCATGGAGCACAGTTTGCCAATCCCTGTACCATAGCAATTAAAAACAGTAACTTTTGTTCGTCTTTATAAGCCATTTCAATATTTGAAACAACATCAAGGATACAGTGCTTACGACATCTTTTATTCAACTCACATGGAAAAGCATGCAGTATTAATGTAACCCATTACAGCATTAATGTAAAATGTTCAGTGTACATTAAACAAGTCATCAGCAAACAAACCCATTTTTAAAGACCCGAACATGAAAAATAATACGCTTTCAGAGCCTAAATTAAAAATTGTGCTCTGCATTTCCCTATCCTCATCCCTACCACATACACTTGTCATGAAAAAAAAAAATTAAAGAAACTGTTTTACATAAAAGATGTGTGTAAGCCAGATGAAACTTAATTTTTCATAAGCATGGGCAACAGTTAAGTAAGAAAGCTACCATGCATAGTTTACATAAAGACCAAGAACATGCAAACAAGAACTGCATTCCAAAAAGGCTTCTCTGGGATGCCAGTGGATCAAGGACATCAAAACGAGTGCTTTTATAGTTGTATATCTGGGACAATGACACTACCATGTTTATCTTCCTCTACACCTCCATACCAAGGAGGTATACCATCTTCCAAGGCCTCCATACCACCTTTCCAATTTCTGATATTCCATACACATGAAAAGGTAGGCAACATAACCTACTTGACATAGGATATGTATTTTCAAATAGAAAATGGTTTTTTTTGTGGCATTATCAGGATGTTTGTACAAATACTGGGCAAAACACAATGCTTAACAAACGGAAACGTATACATAAAATGTTTTTTTAAAGTAAGTGAATAATGAACTAAAGTGGGAGTGCTATTTCTCCATCATGGCTTTGCCTAAAAGTTAGGCCACCACTAAACATAAAAAAAGAGTCACATAAAAACATTTCCACCATGGGAAAAACTTTAAAAGAAATTCAAAAAGTTTTTTTATGGGCAGTGTACAGTCAACACTACAAGTTTCATTTAAAAAACCCAAGTGAGATAACTGAGGATGATCAATAGGCCACTGTGTCTAACAATAAGCTAAAATTTAAAACGCAAAATATCCCTAACCCAGACATATATATCCTTTAAAAACAAAACCAATAACCTTCTCTCTACCTTCTGTAATCAGAAAGGTTCCCACACAAAACATAATCACGAGACTGAACTCTTTTCAAAATGAACAGTATTCTGGGTATAGGTATAATCCATGATTCTGACTTGACACTTGGCATCTTTAAAGATCATCAATCTAAAACCATATAGAATCTTTCTGATGAAAAAAGGAAAAATTAACTTTTAAAACTCCTCTCAGGACAAAAACATAAATGAGGCCTTTCTAAGAAATCAACTTTTAGTTGCCTTCGAGGGGCTGGCATTGGAAAGGCTGCTCTGGATTTTTCTTTTTGTTGAATGATTCACATTTTTATTCTTCTTTTCAGGCACAAAAGTGGACCAAGGAGACTGAAGGTGGTTATGAAGACCATGCACCTCTGAGGATATTTTAAACAATGATGATCCAAACTTTTGATCTTCAAAGAGCCGGTGTGAGCTGTTTAACAAAACACCCTGGGAAAATTCTGTCTGAAACAAACAGCTTGGAGGTTTGAATTCATTAGTTCCTGGATTTGAACTGGGATGGAGTGAAAAATCTTCATTCATTTCTTGGTCAGATGGTGGGAGAAGGAAAAAAGAAGTGGATTTCCATTCATTTCCATTTTCTAACTGATCAGTAGTTAGAGAACCATTGGAAAGGTTTGGCTTAGTTCTTTCTTCCAATTTATCTGGTTCATTAAGAAATTCACTGCTTTGGGATGACTTTGATAAAGCATCCAAATCTGTTGACTTAAAACCATTATTACAAGGGCTCTTGCTATTGTCTGATTCTGACATCATGGAATCCAATTCAGAGATTTTGTCAAGGTAAGCTGCATCCATTGATGCTTCACTAGATGTTCTTGTCCGATTAATTTCAAAAGATCGAATAGAGTTCAACCTTTTGGATAAACACGTGCCTGATTTCTCACTTGATTTTGAAGATATTGCCCCGGCAGAATTTACCGTGGTGTTCCTCTCTGAGCTTTCAAAACCCAAGCTTTGGGCATAGCTTGTGGAACAACAATCCCAAAACCCGGTCTTTGCAGAAGTGAAACCATCTGTTTTCTTTTCATTTTCACTTATACTTACATCCTCTGCAGAATCTTTACTACAGATATTGGGAGAATCACCAAACACCAATTTTCGGAGAAGGTTTGAGTGCTTTTTGGAATTGCCTGCTTTGACCACAGAGCACTCTCTATTTTCTGGAGTACTGAGCTGAAGGCAACTAAGGGACAAATGAGGACAAGGAGCTGGAAGATCAAAAAGGTCTTCATCTTTGTAGTGTCCACATTCACTGGTTTTATCAGCCCACTCTCTTCCCATGTAAGTATCCATACTTGTATCTGTCACATCTAACATGATTTCTACCTGTTTTTGATAAAGGTCTTTGTTAGAACAATTTAGTTCTGTTTTTCTGGTGCTTTCCTGCCTGGCCAAACAAGTCTCAGAGAGTCTGCTGCTGGAAGGCTTTGCCAGGTGAGAAGAACTTGAAGTGGACGAGCTAGGCTGTCTTCTGACACCATCCTCTGGGCACTTCGATGCCACCTCCTCCTCACTGACGTCATTTCCCTTGCCATCTGCAGCAAGGATTCTCTGGCTAATGGCATTCACAGCTTCTTTCTCATCACTTTTTAGCTGAGCAACTTGAGATTCTAGTTCCTCTATATATTTATCACTTCGCTCCAAGGCTTTCTTGAGGCGACTGGTTTCACGTTCATATTGTTCTACTTTGGACTGAAGGGCAGCAACTGTAAACCTTCCAAACCTGAAAAAAACCCAGAATAATAAGAAATCTTTTAACTTGCACTTTTCTCTTTCCTTCTCAAAGTTTAAGAGCAAACTGTCAGCCTTTCTAATCGCACATAGAAAACAGTAAAACACTTCAGATCATTCAGTAAGCGGAGCAAAAGAAATGGCAGATATAATATCATAAAAAAAGGATTTCTTCCCCTTATGTAACTAAGAATATCATAATATTGGCAAAAATCTAGTAGGATACGTTTGTGTCAAACCAGACTGTTGGTAGTGGAGAGGCAGAAACTTGCTGATAATTTTCCTTCTCAGAGTCAGTGCTATCTAGCCAGCTCATACATGCATGCATAGCGATCCCCTAAAACAATGGCAAAGATTTATGATAACATTTGAACAGTGGCCTACATCTTGAAATATTTACATTCAATCATTTTCCTGCTGTACAGCAGTGTTTTACAATTTATTTCTTATACAATGTCACCTTGTCAAACATAAAATGCAATTTGAAATTCAAAAATCTTAGTGTCCCAGGAGGGGTGGTTTTAAATACTTATTTGGCCGCTTTCAATTATAGTCACCCTTGATGTGAAGCTTTTACTTAACTTTTTGAGCACTGGGCTTTAATTCATTTCAGCTCTACTTATTTCTGGCATTTATAACCATATAGGACATAAACTTATTTCTTCCAACTTTGAAATACAAAGTTAATGTTGGTGGTTCAAATACATTGTGTATAAAAACATTTTCACAAGCGAAGTATTTTGGTGCACAACTAAAGAGAAAATCAAAATGTCACCCCTTACATCCAAGATAATGTATTTATTATTCCCTGAAGAATGGGCACCGGTTCAGTTCAGATAACAATTTTCGAGCACCTAGTACGAGAGAAAAGGAGCCCTAGTGGTAATAGTGGATTATGATTCGAGCAGCTCACAGAAAGGAGAGTGATTCAAACCCACCAGGCTGTCTGCTCCTGTAAAGATTTACAGTCTTAAAAACCTAAAAGAGTAGTTCTATTCTGTAATAAGTCCGAATCAACTCGACGGAATGGAGCTGCCAGAAGCTCAGGACTGATTCAAAAGAGGACACTGAGCAAGGAATATCATTGGTGGAGGTCAGTTGGATCTTGGCCGAAAGCATAGAATACCAGGAAGATGTTTCCTTGTGTTTTATTGACTAGGCCAAGGCATTTGACTCTGTGCATCACAAGCAGCTATGGACATTCATGAGAATGAGAATTCTAAAACACTTTATTATGCTCAAGTGGAACTGATATAGGAATGAATCAAAAGGCAGTTATGTGAAAAGAGCAAGGGAACACTGCACAGTTTAAAATCAGAAAAGGTGTGTGTCAGGGTAGTATCCTTTCAACATACTTACTCAATCTGTCTGCTAAGCAAATAATCAGAGAAGCTAGATTATATAAAGAAGAATCCTGTATTAGGGTCAGAGGAAGGCTTATTAAGAACCTTAATATTTAGCCTTAAATATGGATTACAACTCAATATAAAGAAAACCAAAATCCTGAAAATTGAACCAATAGATAAAATCATAATAAATGGCAAAAGGGTTGAAATTGTCAAGGAATTTATCTAGCTTGGATCCACAATTGATGCTCATGGAAGTAGCGTCAAGAGATTAAAAAAATGCATTGCATTAGGTAAATCTGTTAGGTAGACTAGTGTAGGGCAGAGGGGGTGGGGGGGTGTCCGTTAGCGCATGCCCAGAGGGCCAAGCTACGGAACAAAGGAGTGGCACAGTGCACATGCCCAGAGGCTCAGGTTTCCTGTGGTAGGCATGGGTGGGCGTGAACCTGAATTGGCACACCTAGGCCAGGTGAATTCAATTCAGCCAATGGGGTCTATCAGGGGTCATCCACCACGCCTCCCCGTGGAATCCTTGAAAAGGCAGAAGTCCGGAGAGAGAGAGAACTTTGGCGCAGAGCTTTGGCAGCTCTTTGGGAGACTTTTGCATGATGCCGAGCAGTTTCCAGACAAGCTGTATGCTCGGGAGGAGCCCCTTGGGTGCCGTGTAAACCTGAAACTTCTTCTAACTCTCATAAAACTCACTTGGATCATGAACCAGGCTTCGGTGTGAATTCTTTTTCGAGCGGAGCCAAGGACCGAGGTATATCTAGCTACAGAGAGATCTAACAAATCTGCCGCACATGACCTCTTTAGAGTAATGAAAAGAAAGATGTTACTTTGAAGACTAAGGTACAGGAAAGTTGGACAATGAATAAAGAATAAAGAATGAAGCAGAATTTTTTCATTTGAATTGTGGTGCTAGAGAAGAATATTTTAAGTACTGGGGACTCCTAAAAGAAACACTAAATCTATCTTGGAAAAATATGGTCAGAATGCCCCTGAGCAGCAAGGATTACAAGACTTTGTCTTACCTCCTTTGGACACCTGTTTGGAGACATAGTGGCCCTGGAGAAGCACTTCATGGATGATAAAGTTGAGAGAGGGGGAAGCAAAAGAGGGAGGTCCTCAATGAGACCGATTAGTGTAAAGGCTGCAACAATGGGCTCAAGCTGAGGGATAATTGTGAGGATGGCAATCAACGTGATGGCATCTAAGGCAGCAGCAGCAATAGGGGACTAGAGCTGGTGGGCCAACTAACAGAATGTGAAGCAAAGTCATGGAGCTGATGAATGAACTAATCAATCTCTGTAATCCCCCCCCCCCCCACCCAACATTAGAGTATAAGTTGCAGGAAAGCAGGGATTTTGATTGTCTTATAATCACTGCTTGAGGAGAAAAATGGGGCTGTTGATGTCAGTAAAGATTTACAGTTTCAGAAACCCTGTAGAGGGTTGATACAAGTCAGAATTGACTTGATAAGTGGCTTTGACTTTTTGGTTTGCTGGTTGACCCTAGGATAGAGAGAGTCCCCGTAGAAAACGTTCCAAGGCACTCAGAAGAATTGCAAATGTTCACCTAGAGTCACAGAGCCCATTTTCACTGTTTATCATCGTTTCTTTGTCTAACGCTAGTCTCGTTAGGGAATTTTAAAAATCGAATTTGGCACAAGGCAATCAACTTTACCACGTAAAGATGAAGATTTGATATTACCAAAGAAAAAGACAATGAGAACAGCTTATTTACCTTTGAATTTTAATATTCTCTTATTCATATGAATTCTAAATATGTCCAGAGTACATGATATTAAGTGAATCAATGCAAAGGCAAGCCAGAGGGACTTCTAACATCATTTACCATACTTCCTTTCTCTGCGCACATTTCAAAAAATGGAGTATTTTTATAAACATTCCATTAGAGACTAAGAGACTTTGATTTTCAAAGTAGCAGTGACGGCTAAAGGCTTCATTATGACAGAGAAAACACTGTAGAGCTTTTTGGGAGCTGAAACTGATATATATTATACCAGGATCTAGGAGAAATTTAAGAGGATTTTTCAGCTTGCAAAGTTAACTAATTGTATATTCTGGATGAGAGTTCCCCTTACTATAATGCTGCTTTTTGTCTCTAGAAGAATTCTGAGAAATGGAAGTCCTATTGGCTAGGAGGTATAAAAGTGTAGCAACGTTGAAACATACAACTTTCCTCTAGTTCTTAAATGCATCCTCCCCACCTCTATCATGATCCCAATTCTACCTTACAAATCCAGCTGGACCAGAGGATGTAGACTGGTACAGATAGGACTGGAACAGAGAATCCAGGGCGGATGATCCCTTCAGGACCAGTGGTGAGAGTGGCGATACCATGAGTGTGTAAGGAAGGTGAGGGAGAAAGGGGGAACTGATTACAAGGATCTACATATAACCTCCCTGGGGGACGGACAACAGAAAAGTGGGTGAAGGGAGACGTTGACAGTGTAAGACATGACAAAATATAATAATTTATAAATTATCAAGGGTTTAGGAGGGAAGGGGAGGCGGGGAGGGAGGGGATAAAATGAGGAGCTGATACCAAGGGCTCAAGTAGAAAGCAAATGTTTTCAGAATGAGGATGGCAACAAATGTACACACAATGGATGGATGTATGGATTGTGATAAGAGTTGTATGAACCCCCAATAAAATGATTTAAAATAAAAGAGGGAAAAAAGAAAAAAAAAATAGGCCAACAACTTCAAATATTTGGAAAAAGTCTGATAAAATAATAATATGAAAAAAAAGAAAGTAATAGCATCTCTAACAACATTATCTCACAGCTCAGGAGGAACAGGGATATGTGTGAAGGGGGTCAGGAGAAAAGAAATGTAGCAAAAGAATAAATTCCAGAATCACAAAACACCAAAACTAAATAAACTCTAGTGATGTACTTCCATTAGTTAGCACAACCTTGCACATTCACTTTGACTCTCTGGTTCACAATAGCACCATTAATAGAATCAGAGGACTTGTTTTAATCTGGTAGGCATGGCTCTGCTGCTGGGAATAAATATCACTGGAAGATTTGCCTATCACCAGCCCCCTTTGTTTGTATAAAGAATCTTCAGTCACTGAAGAGTTTAATATGAACAAGTACTATACTCATATAATTCCCTTTTCTCAACAGTATTTTAAATTCTGTACTTTTGGCTAAACTACTATCAATGTGTACTGGTTACACATTGGGCTGATAACTGCCAAGGTCAGCAGTTAAAAACCACCACCCAGCTCTGCAGGGGAAGGATGAGGCTTTCTCCTCCTGTGAAGATTTTCAGCATTGACTTGATAGCAGTGGAATATGGCCCCAGAAGATGACTGATAATGTCCTTGACCAGCAATGGGAGAAAAGCTACAAAGTCCCTGAGAATACAAGGAAGCAGATACTTTGGGCCTCTACTTTAACCTTACCTCAGTACAAGTACAGTTTATTCTAATAATGTGGCAATGTATGATACTGACCTTCCCCACACAATCGCTGTAGACAAAATGGGTGCATCAGCAAATGTGAAGAAAGCTGATGGTGTCCAGCTATTAAAAAGATATAGCATCTGGGGTCTTAAAGGTTTGAAGTTAAACAAGCGGCCATCTAGCAGGAAGCAACAAAGGCCCCATGGAA